CAAGGCGCGCGGGGAGCAAACCAGCTGACAGGCTGGTCGCGGTGGCGAGGACGCTGCCGAGGCTCGGGGCCCTGACACTGGGGTTCGGCGCTGGCAGGGATGGGGCGCTTCAGGAGTCCTAACAGCAGCCTCTTAGAAATATGTTACTTGATGTTTGTCAGCTGCTTTCCGCAGGGGTGGACTTGATCTGTTCTGTTGATCGTGGAGACTCCTGTAATGGACTCTGATCTTTTCCCCGGAAATTAACTTTCCAGTCTTTAGTGGTGTGCAGTTAATACTGTGTAGTTAAGATTTTGTATTTTCCGATTTTTCTATGGAAGGAACGCTCCCTGGGACTGAGTAGGTTCAGGAGAAGTTTCAAGTGAAATTTGCTATGTTGAAGAAAGTAGGGGCAGGTGGTGTTAATATCTCCGATTTACATTTGAAAACAGATTCAACATAATATCAAAATCCCAGCTGTATTTTTGAAATAGACAAACTGAAATTTATATGGAACCACAAGGGACTGAACACCTCCCGTAACTGAGTCTGAAGGCGTGGTAACATTGTTGGATAACGACTTTACATTTAATCCAATGATAACAGAGCCCAAACAGGCATGTGAACAATTTTTGGGAATGACTTATTTTTTGGGAATAAAATACAGCAGTTTCTATCTCAAAATTCATTATTCAAAACAGTATAATTTCATTTTGGTTTAAGAACTATTTATTAAGCACCTACAGTGTTATATGCATAATAAGACATGAGACTGCACACATTAAATTTTAGGGAAACTATAAAATAACATTTATTTAAATGCAGAATCAGCGGGAGGAGAGATTAGTATGGGTCTGAGTTTTCAGGAATATGTTTATGAATTATATCTCTAAAGTATAGATACTATTTGTTTCCTCTCTAAAACATAGATACAACGTCTACTATTCATATTGGAGGGGATAGGGAATCCTAAATAGTTTCTTTCTTCATATTCTTAAGGGTTTGGTGAATAGTCTCATATGACATTTTATAGTACTTATTTAAATTTCTAAGGCCACTTGATTGCAGTATCTATTTCTTTCATAGTACAAATCTGTCTGGCATATTTTGTGTTTGATATATGTGGAACTATAAGGGACTAATATAATGAGGCTAATAATGGGGACTTTGACACTTAGTGAGTCCTTATTCTGTTTCTGTAGTTGGTCTTACTTTTATACTAGAGGCCCGGTGCACAAAAATTTGTGCACTGGCGGGGGAGGGGAGTATGGGGGGTGTCCCTCAGCCCCACTTGTGCCCTCTCACAGTCTGGGACCCCTCGGGAGATAACCACCTGCTGGCTTAGGCCCACTCTCCAGGTGGCAGATGGCAGGCCCGATCCCTTGGTGCCTGCCCCGCCTCCCCGGGTTGCGCACACGGCAGGGTCAATCCGGGAGTTGGGGTGTTGCCCCGGGTTGGGTAGCACACGGGATGCCCAGACAGCAGCCGGGCGGGCCAGCGGATTGCTACCGCCCCGCCCGGCTGCGCTGGGTCAGGTCGCACACGCAGGTGGCAGGGATCGCAGCGGTCCCGCCCACCAGCCACAGGTAGGGTCGCACACGGGACGCCCACTGCCCTGGGTCGCAGATAGCAGGCCTGGATGGCGGCAGGGCAGGCGGGATGGCGCTGTCCTGCCCCACCGCCCCGGGTCGCAAATAGCAGGCCCAGATGGTGGCGGGCTGGCGGGATGGCGCTGTCCCGCCCTACCTGCAGTATGCAAATTAGCCGCCATCTTTGTTGGCGGTTAATTTGCATATCGCGATGATTAGCCAATGGGAGGTGTAGCAAAGGTATGGTCAATTACCATGTTTGTCTATTATTAGATAGGATAAGACACCACAATTTAAGTAGAGTTACTGTTTCATACACACTTACTAGTCTTGTGAAATGTTGCTTTCTTCAATTTGACATATATTTCCAGAATGCTTACTATGTAGCAGGCGCTGGATCAGGAAATAGTTTACCTATGGGGTTTATGTGTATGTGTATGTATATGTGTATGTGTATGTGTATGTGTATGTGTGTGTGTGTGTGTATCTGCATGTGTATGTATGTTTGTTTGTTTGTGTGTTTAAAATATCTGCCTTGGATGCTCAGCATTTGCCTAGAGCAGGGGTGGGCAAACTTTTTGACTCGAGGGCCACAATGGGTTCTTAAACTGGACCGGAGGGCTGGAACAAAAGCATGGATGGAGTGTTTGTGTGAACTAATATAAATTCAAAGTAAACATCATTACATAAAAGGGTACGGTCTTTTTTTTATTTAGTTTTATTCATTTCAAACAGGCCAGATCCGGCCCGCGGGCCGTAGTTTGCCCATGGCTGGCCTAGAGGCATAGAAGGGCTAGAGAAATTTATACAGGTATACCTTGTTTTGTTTTGCTTTGTTTTATTGTGCTTCACAGGTTTTGCATTTTTTACTAATGGTAGGCAAGACCCTCCACCAGCAAAAAGATTGTGACTCACTTTATTGTGGTGTCTGGAATTGACACTGCAACATCTCCGAGGTATGCCTGTACATGAATCTGAGTTGACTTATTTTCTTTCTTTTTTTAAAATTAATTACTTCATTTTATTATTATTTTTTAAATCCTCACCTGAGGGTATTTTTTCTTTGATTTTTAGAGAGAGTGGAAGGGAGAGGGAAAGACAGAGTTAGAAACATTGATGTGAGAGAAACACATTGACTGGTTGCCTCCTGCACAAGCCCTGACCAGGGCCCGAGCCAGGGAGGAGCCTGCAACTGAGGTATGTGCCTTAACCAGAATTGAACCTGGGACTCTTTGGTCTGCAGGCCAACGCTCTATCCACTGAGCCAAACTGGCTAGGGCTTGTTTTTCTTTTTAAAGAGTTGAATAGGGACTTTAGGCTCAATTTTTTTGGGCATTCTCTAAAGATTCATTTTGTGAAGATGCACACTCTTAAGGAGACCTATTCATTCCTTATAGATTTAGTGCCCATTTATTCACTTAGTCAACCAATTGAGTGCTTACTTGGTACTAGGCACTGTGCTTAGACATGAGGGGGACTGAGTGCAAACATGGTCCCTGTCCTCAGCAGATGATACCACAGAATCACACAAATATAAAACTGTGACAAGTATTTGAGTTAGGGAAGTCACAGAAGTGACAGTTTGACTGAAATCTGAAGGATATACAGGAAAGGAGCAGTGTTCCAGTCAGAGCAAACAGTAAGGGCAAAGACCTGTGATGTCACAGTTCACGAAGAGGACTAGGGACTTGTAGTACAGCTCCATGTATGGAGCAAGAAGCTGTAGAAGAATCTGGTGGGAGAGGGGGCTGGAGAGTTGGGCCGGAGGGTGCTGGGCCTTGGAAACAGGTTGAGGAGTTTTTCTTTATCATCTATGTATATGGTTTTACTTGATGGATTTAGGCTGGATTGCTTGTGGAGATGACACAATTAGGTTGTGTTTGAATAGCCTGCATTGTATTGTTCCTATTGCTTAGTATTTGTATTGTCTTCTCTTTCCTCATTTTTTTCAACATGCTCCCTCAGCTTTATTGTTGGGGAGGCCTCTATGTCCCACTAGCAATACATGTTCACTTTTCTAATTGGGAAAAAAGGAATTTTAGAGATTAGGATTAGAAACTAGAAGTTGATTTGAAATGTTTTTGCGTTCGTGTGTGACCTCTAGGACACTAATTTCTGTGATTCTCTTTTTAATTGTGGTAATAGAAACATTAAATTTACCTTCTTAATCATTTTGAAGTGTACAGTTCAGTGGCGTTAACTATATTTACATTGTTGTGTAACAGATCTCTAGGACTTTGTCATCTTGCAAAATGAAAACTCTACCTATTGAACAATTTCCTATTTCTCCTTCCCTCAGCTCCTGGCACCTACTCTTTTACCTTCAGTTCCCATGATTTTGACTACTCCAGATATCTCACATAAGTGAAATTGTACAAGGTATGTTCATTTTTACCATCATGCTCCTTCCCTAGAATATCCTTTCTTCTCAGTCAATTTAAATCCTTCCAGTTCTAAGGCCCATTTCCTCTCCCTTGTCCTTTTACTTGGCTTAATAGACCCAGAGTGGAAGAGCCCTTAGCAATTTTCTAGGTGAGCCCTGGTCAGGGTGATTCAGTGGTTAGAGCGTCGGCCTGTGCACCAGAGGGTCGCAGGCTCGACTCCTGTCAAGGACACGTACCTGGGTTGCAGGTCTGATTCCTGCTCCAGGTCGGGGAGCATGCAGGAGCAACCAAGAGGCAACCAATGGATGTGTCTCTATCACATTGATGTTTCTCTTTTTCTCCCCCGCCCCCTTCCTTCCACTATCTCTAAAAATCAGTGGAAAACATATCCTCACTCCTTGGGTGAGGATTAAAAAAAAAAGAAAAGAAAATTGAGTTCTTTAGAAGTTTCAGTGATTTGCTTAGGGGCAGACATCTAGTGAGTCGGGCAAAGTTGGGACTAGAGCTCTAATCTTTCAACTCTTGGGTGGGTGCCTTTTCTGCTTCAGCCTGCTAACGTTGTGATTTAGTGCTCTATTCTGTAGTTAGATCAGAAGTACCACTGAGGCACAGGCACATTTTCCTATCTCCATAACATTATGCAGAGGCATATTAGATGCCTAGGAAATATTTTTTAATGAATTGATTGTCTTCAGAACTTTCATTGCCTAAGAGGTGGCTCTACATAAAATTTTGAACTTCATTGATTTTTTAGATCCTTGGTTATATTAATCAAATTTACACTAGTCCTTCTGCAGTTGAGTAATTCTTTCACCTTTGCAATCAGAGTTAAGACTTTCTCACCTTTTCCTAATGCTCTCTATATTGCATGTATTTGTCCATGGCACACATACTTGGGCTCCCCTACAAATTTTGATGAAAATCTAATGAAAAAAACCATCAGAAGTGGAAAACATAATGCATTAAACTTTTTAGATTAGCTGATTTTTATTTTGAGGCAAAGGTTTAATGCTTCTTTGTGAGCTTTATTGCTGCTAAATGTTTTTGAAAGAATCATATTTGTACCACACTATATAGTGCTCATCTCAGAATGCCTATGAATCAGTTGATTTTGGGTATTGGACTGGAAGTGATTTTGAGATGGCTCAATATCTTTAGGGCTAAAAACGTATAAAAAAGTATTTTCTTGTGTGAGGAAGATTTATAAACTTTTATTTGTAGTTTCCCCATTTACCTCAGACTTTGCTTTCCTGTAATGTTATAGGACCAGCCTATAGAATCCAACTTTTATTTTTTTATTTATTTAAAAAAAACTTTATTGTTGAAAGTATTACATAAATTCCCCCTTTTTCCCCCCCATCGACCCCCTCCAATTAATATTTTTGGACCACGGTTTATTGTGGGTAACCAAAACTTTGGATAACTGAAACTGTAGATGAGGAGGGAACTCTGTGTACAAATACTGAATTATAATGTTGTATACCTGGTATGTGTGTGTATATACTATACACACACACACACATACACACATATCAGGTATACAACAATATATATAGTATACAAATTTTACCACAATAAAAAAGCAAGAAAAAAAGAAAGAACCCAATGAAACAGAATAGAAATATTAGTAACAAAACAATTGGGAAAGGATGGATTATTTAATAGATAATAATCAGAGAACTGGCTTTTTATAAGGAGTCTATATAAGGATGAAATACATAATTCGGTTATAGCAAAACCACAATTGACATCCCCTCCCCACAAAACTCAAATTGTTCAAATGGGTTAAAATCTAAATGTGAAAAATATAATAAAATTATAGCTAATAGAGAAAAACAGAAAATCTCTCAGGCCCCACCCCACACTTACCAAATCAGAAACTCAGGGTGGGGTCTAGCCTTCTGTTTGTTTGTTTTTTTAATTTTTATTGTTGAAAGTATGACATATGTCCCCTTTTTCCACCATTGTCCTCTTCTAGTCCCCCCACCCTCCCTCCCCAGGTCTTCACCACCCTATTGTCTGTGTCCATGGGTTATGCATATATGGATACAAGGTCTTTGGTTGATTAACTCCCATCCATCCACCCTCCTCCGCCTTCCTGAGATTCTGCAATCTGTTTCATGCTTCCGTGTCTCTGGATCCACTCCGTAAAAATTCAACTTTTAAAGTGTCCTCCTATTTTAACCTTCAAAAAATTTTTTTTTAAAATCTGAGGAATTGCTGTGGGAAATAAAGTTCATCTTCACTCAAATACTACAGAGCACAAGTAAAAATCAAACTGTGGGCCTGGAATAAGATCCCTTTGAGGTCCAGCCATCTAAGCCATTATTGGTGATGTCAGGGAGACTTGGCCAGAATTCTTATTGTCTTTATTAGTCTGAAGGTGGTGGTGGAACTGCACAAAATGCACCTTTGTGTCATGTGACAGGAGATAGAAAGATTTGACAATGAGGACTTTTCAGATAGCATTTTATTTGGAACCATAGTAGGAACTTGATGCCCAAGAACTTGGTGCCCCAGAGTTGCAATTATGTGATTAACTTTTGTGTTGAGGCTAGAATTAGTCAAGTTTAGTCAACTGTTAGTCCAAAAACACTACCTTTCTCCCCCACTATTTAAAATTATGATTTATTGTGGAGATTATAATTAATAGATCACCTACTATCTGTCAAATAATTCACATACATTGTGTCATTTAATACCAGTGTTCGTCCATTGAGAAAGATGATTTGACTCTTTTATTGAGAAACTTGAGTCATAAGGCAATACATATTAGAACCAAAGTTTGAACCCATGTCTGTCTGTTGACAAAGCCCATATTCCTTCCATCACGCTACATCATGCCACTTCCCTAAATCAGGTTCTGATTTCAACATTTACACTGGTTATCAGAACATCAACATAAGTATTGTGATGATGATAAAGAAAAGGGCAAGTGATGAAGTAGGCTGATATAGTAGGAAGTTACCTGTTCCCTGTGGCTTAAAAAATCTTTCAAATGAAGGAAAGTAATTGTTGGAGTATCTGATAGACTTGAGAGTTTGGGTATCTAAACCATGAGGAAGCAGGAAGTTATATAATGCTAATTGGAGAACTCTTTTCTTTAGGTTCCTCTGTAGGCTTCCTTTAATGAAATTGGATTGTTTCTCCCATTAGGCTTTGATGAGGAGGAGAGGTTTGTGGTGATTGTCTAGGTGCTGAGGGATTCAGAGAGAAGCCCCAGACATTTCTGTTTAACTTCACATTATTTAGAGAGCATTTCCTCATGGGAAATAGTTGCTTCTCTCTCTCTTTGCCATGGTCAGCTTTAATCAGTTATAGAGGATTGACTATAAAACTGTAACAGCAGTTATACTAGGAAGGAGATAATAGCACTTTTTGTTGTTTAATCCTACTTGAAATCAACAGTTTACATGGTTTGCTATTCTTTTTAGTTATTTTAAGTTTTCTTAATGAAAAAAATGTATATTGTTTAGAGATTTATTGCTTTTATAAGAAATTTATTTTATGATTTACTGAATTTTGCCAGTTCAAATTAGTCTTTCTTAATAGTTTGGAAATAAGGATGCCCTATGAATTTTATGACAAAATACACATTATTAACAAGGAATAATTTTTAATGAATGAATTAGGGCCCAATTTGTATTATGAAATATTATTAATTATTGGGTTAAAACCATATTTGTTAAAAGCTGATTTATTGAGATATAGTTGACATATAAACTGTACATATTTAAGGTGTACAATTGGTTAAGTTTTGACATATGTATAGATTCATGAGCCCACCATCACAAACAAGAGGGTGAACATATCCCTCACCCCTAAAGCTTTCATCATATCCTGGCTCCTTGACCCCCATCCCAGACAACCACTGATCTTTCTCTCATTACATATTAATTTTCATTTCCTAGAAGTTTATATAAATGGAATCATACAGTATATAGTTATGCTTATTTCATTCAATATCAATTGTTTTTTTTACTTCCTTTTTTAAATTTAATTTTTTTGTTCTATTTTATTTTTTAAATTTTATTTTATTGTTTAAAGTATTACAAATAGTAGTACATATGTCTCATTTTTCCCCCCATTGACCTCCCCTTGGCCTCCCCTACCTCGCCCCGGCATAGGCGCTCCCCCGCCCCCCTCCGCCGCCAGTGTCTTGTGTCCATTGGTTATGCTTATATGCATGCATACAAGTCCTTCAGTTGATCTCTTGTTTTGAGATTCATGTTTTCAATGTATTAGAAGTTGATTTCCCTTTAATTCTGAGTAATATTCCTTTGTATGAATATACCACAGTTTATTAATACATTCACCTATTGCCCGGCTGGCGTGGCTCAGTGGTTGAGCATTGACCTATGAACCAGGAGGTCATGGTTTGATTCCCAGTCAGGGCACATGCCTGGGTTGTGGGCTCAATCCTCAGTGTGGGGTGTGCAGGAGGCAGCTGATAAATGATTCTCATCATTGATGTTTCTATCCCTCTCTCCCTCTCCTTCCTCTCTGAAATCAATAATATATATATATCTATCTCCTAGTGGGTTATTTAAATAACTTTAAAAAATACATTCACCCATTGTTGGACATATTATTTCCAGTTTTGGTAATAAATAAGACTGCTGTGAAACTTTGTATACAAGTCTTTGTATGGACATATACTTTTATTTCTCTTGGCTACATAAATACCTAGGAGTAGAATGGCTAGATCATATGGTAGGTATATGCTTAACTTTTAAAGAAACTATCGGTTTTTTGAAGCAGCTGTACTATTTTGCATTCCCACCAACAGTGTATAAGAGGTTCAGTTCTTCCACATCCTTATCAATCCTTGGTATAGCCAATCTTTTAAATTTTAGACATTCTAATTTATAGTGGTATCTCACTGTGTTTTTAATTTTCATTTCTTCAATTAGTGATGCTTAGCATATTTGCTATCCATATAGCTTTGATGAAGTGTCTTTTCACATTTTCAGTCAATTTTTAATTGGGTTCTGT